TCCCTCAAAAACTGTTGATAAATCAGTCTAAATCAGTAAAAGTGAGATAATGCTGAGATAATCCATATCAAGATGCTGACTAGACACCATGATTAGTGCACAGGTGTGCCTTAGACTGGCCAAAATAAAATCAGATCTGGAGATGCAAGACAATCCCCATCTGATTAGTATGTATCAAGGTCTATTTCTTTCTTAGTTCTTACGTTTTAATGCTGTCTGCAACTGTAATGCTGTGAATACCAGAGCTAAAAGCATTGAACTGCTTATGCAGGACCTCGTTTCTCACTCCAGTCTGTAATATCCTCTCTCTTACAGTAGTTTAGATCAAAATTAGACCAAGTCAGAATTTTGAATTTTTTTCTCTACCAATCAGTGAGCCAAAGAAGCAAAATTAGCTACCGGTAATTTCCTGCACATAGTACTGCTTTTATAAGAATGGAGTTTGAAGTTATTTTCTATCCTTTAATAGGGCAAAAACTTACAATAAGTAAAGGAGATGGATCAATACTTTTACTTTTTTCCACAGGTCATTTTACTCTTACTAAAGCAAAGAATTTGAGTATGCAGATGATGTGAGCAACAGCGTCTGAGGAAATATGAGGAATAGAGGCATTCAAATTAGTTGACAGTTGAGCCAAAGGTGAAGAAGCTATAGATGCTGATAAGGTTGAGGATTAAAAAATTATATATGACTATTGTATATAAAACATCATAAAAACTGTTGCACTGACAGATACTAAAGATTTTGATATTATTGAGCTTACTGACCAGGCTCAGTCTCTTTTTTCTTTGTTTAGTGCCATTGACCATTTTATTGTTGTTTTTTTTAATCATTTTAATTTTTAAGATATACCATACGACAGGAGAAGGAAGATAAGGTCTGAGAAGCCATCTGCTGACGGTTCTATTTTTATTCCAGTATAGATAAAATAAATGTTTTTACTGCAGTATTGGAAAAATTGAAAAAGCAATTTATCATTTTAAAAAATGTATACACATTACTTCACAATTTTTCAGCAATATGTTTTTTTGTTTGTCAAACCAATTCTATTTCAAAGATGTCTACTCTATGAATATCTCTAAAAAAGCAGTTTTAGTTTTAATTTTTTTATTTACCGAAAGGACTATTTATCCACCTTTACATTTTTTAGACTTAACTTGTGAAATATATTGTGAAATATCTATCGATGACTCTAAGAAAATGCAAAAAAAAAAAAAAACAAGGAAAAAAAACTAGTGTGTCTCGCTGTTCTAACACAGAGAGCTTTTTGCTGGAGGAACATGACCTTTTTCAGATTTCATTTGCTTAAAGTCTCTCATTAATACTGACTCTAAATGCACATGTTATATTTTAAATGTCAGTTAAGGTTAAATGTCAAATTTTGGTAACAGCACACTGTGAGCGGACTCATTTCTGTGCCAGAAATGTTAATGACAACGCTGTGTTACTCTGAGATTTGAATAGCATTAAAGCATCATTTATCTTTCTGTTTTTGACATTTGGCTGTGTGAGCAGCACTATTTAAAATGTCTTATATTTGTCATTGTAGATTAATCTAAAATAAGTTTGGATCAATGAGGAGCATTTTTAAACTGGTAATACAGCATGTCATAAGATCTTGATTTATAACTTTAAGGAGTTGATACTTTTATCAATGTCAAGCAGCAGGATGAGGAACAACATTTGTCCTACTCATCCGCTCTTCAGAAAGGCCCTATTTGGGAGAAATTACACTGACATAGTGATTGATAAGGATAGTTTAGACGGAAGAGGTGAAACATTCTACTATGTTTTTTTCATTTCCTTCTTAGTCCTGATTGTAATATAGAGATGAGATCAGGTAGAACCGGGAGATAGAAACCTGCCAATGATGCCAATAACCAGAGAACAAATCTTCCCAGGGATTCGATTAAACTAGTAAGAAAAAAACACTATAACATATTGGACATATTCAGTAAATAAGAATGTTATTGAGAAGTGCATTCATTTCATTATCTTAATTCACAAAGTAAAAATCCCATAGATGAATTGTTCCAGGTTATAAATAGCGTAGATGTTGTTTTGTTGTAAACTGTGCAAACAAAATAAACTCCATATTAAAATATTATGGATCTGGCAACTCTTTATAATTATCTAAAAATACAACATCTCAAACACTGAAGGTGTTGATATTTTAGTTTCAAACTTTTGACAAAGAACATAAGCTCTAGTTTGTTTCCTGTTTCTTGTGCATCCGGATTTCTCAGATAAGTATTACTTACATTTCCTATGAGATTGTCCTTTCACTAAATATGCATAACGCTTTTGTTAAAATGACCAAAGGCATTTTTTGGTCTTGTGGCTTTATGAGCTACTCAGTAACATTCTGAATTACTTAGATTAATTATAATAGGATATTTTTTACTTAATTCCCTGATGTTAACTATTGAAAAGCATCTCTTAGATCATAAAATATGGGAAAAAGGTAATAACTACTTTTTTTTTAAAAAACAATAAAAAAAACATACATACAATGAACATCTACAGTGGTGCAGATTTTGATTTTACATTTTATTTTCTATATAAATAATTGATTTATACATCATTCTGATGGGTCCAGAATTCATGAATATTTACTTCTGATTATGATGTCAATATCTGTACAAAAATATTGTGCAACAGGTATAGTGGGCTGAAGTCATGTGAGATGGAGGTCAGGCCTTGCCTGGTCCTAACAACTCATGATAGAGATAAGAAATGGGTTCTTCTTGCTCATTTACATTTGGTACCAACTTAAGGAAGCAAAGGGGGTCAGTAGATGCCACTAAGAGGTGGCCACTTTACTTCAAACAGGTAAGCTTAATGTTTGCAGACCTTTAAACCTGCTGGCAAACTGTTTGGAACAGGACTGGGTTTAATTCCTATTTGCTTTTTTGTGTTTTTACCCCAGATTTAACTCCTGGCCAGTAATTGCTTAACTTAATGCTATCACCAAGGTAGTGAATAAAAGAAAAAATCTCTAATTATTATCAAAACAACCAAAGGAGTCATGGGCAACATTTCTACCATCTCTTTAATTAAATACTGAAATACCAACCAAGTCCAATCAACATTCATATATGAATTTACATAACATATAAATCACACGGCTTATGGCATTGTACAGAGTATGTACACACGGCTACATTTACAAATATACCATTCTGCTCATATCATTTTTTCAATCATTGTCTGTAGCAAATATATTTAATATAACAAAGCACAATAAAAAGAAACTTTAATCGTAAGCGTCCAAAATCCTTTTTCTGCTCCATTTTACACGTTTCAAGTATCTGAAGAGAGTTTTTGAGCTAAAGAGGGCATCAGACAAAAGGATAGAGACAGTGCTTATTTGTTTGTTTTAAAAAAAAAATCAGCTGCATCATTAGCGATAGTAAAATAACAAATAACAGGATTTTTTTTTTAGGAATACTGGGCTTTTTCAACAGGGAAACACTTTCTAGACTAAATACTCACAGGTGACAGATTTTGGAAGTAATTTAGGTCAAAGTATTAGAGCTATAGTGAAGTAGAGATTCTCCAGGTGTACATTGTAAACAAAGAACTATTAAGCTCTTCTAATCGTAGACAAACATAATGTCTAGTGTGACGCATTGCATTTAGTTTGTTTATAGTTTACAAGCATAAAAATCAGGTATGTTTCCCAGGAATCAATGAGAGCTGAGGACATGCATGGATCAACTGTTAGCAGATTTTTTTTTAAAGAAAATAGACAAATGAAGACAATGAAGACAAGCTGTATTCCAAGACAACAACAAAAAAACAAGTTGTGAATGTGTTATTTTCTTAATGAGGACTTGTGGACAGTCAGTATATCAATTGCACCCAAAAATCTAAGTTTGGTAGCTGGTCATCCTTTTTAGAGGGTTGAAAAGAAACTCAGAAGTTCAAATATAAGTTCAGTTTTTGTCGTCTAGATGAATGAAAAATTGAAGGTTTAGATCACTTGTTTTTTTTAGACCGTTTATGTCTTCCGAAAGATTGCAAAAACATCACTTGTAACTAAAATGATGCAGACTAGCCATCCAAAACATATAATTACTTACACACAAAAAAATCCCTTTATGGTAGCTGTTTTAAATAGTTCAAGGAGCAGAGTACCACTAATAAAGAATAAAAATTGTAAAATACATTTTTATCTGAATGGTTTACTGGAACAGTAATAAATACATAAAAAAAATGGAAAATGTATAATCATTTAGATATGTCAATAACTCATAAAATCCTGGATAATCAATGTAGACATAATTAAGACAATATTTTCTGTTTTACAGCCCTTCCTCTCATCTGATGGCTAAACTTAGACAAATAAACTTCATATTAATCTCCTTTCAGACAGCAGTTTGCTTTGATCTCTTACTTTGATTGGTGAGTGCCTAACTAGTTAAAGCCAACCAATTAATGTTGTGCTGCAAAAACACCACTTTAGGAAAGAAATACAATTTTAAACTGATTTTATTGATCAGTTTAATATTGAATTGTACTTTATAATTAATTATTTCCACATTTGATTCTAGATTTTAAAAGTTATTGGGATTAAAATATATTCAAATATCTGAACATTTATTTACATATTAAATGTAATATTCTACTATAATTAGTGTTTATCATATTATTTATTATTTAATGAATTATTGCAATGTGGACTCAATTATTACGTTTGGAATAAATCCATACAGGATCTAATTTTGACAAATGGAATCTGTCCTAAATTTACATTCCAACATTATAGTTCAGAATTTCCTGATGAAAATCAACTACCTGGATTTCTAGGTGTCTAAGTTAAAATCAAGTTAATGAGGACATTTGAAAAAAGCAAAAGTGCAAGGCAAAGGAACAGAGCCCTTTCTAGAGAAATCCATAAATGAATGTATGTTCCTTGTGTGGTGGCTGAAGGTTTGCCAGAGCTATATGAGATGCAGGACATTTCCATTGTGCTCAGAACATGCAGATTTCAGAAAAGCAAAATTATAGGGTGAGAAGACTAGAAGAGTAATGTCAAAAATACCCCCGTGAGATTGGGCTGACTCCTTCTTGTTCGTGGATAGATGAATTGCAGAAACATCCTGTAACACATTCTGCATATACATAAGTTTTGATTCCCCTCAGCAGGAAGCAAAAGTGAGACGAGATGGGAAAAAGACGGGATCAAAGCAGAATAAGGAGTCAGTTCTCTTTATGATGATTTCCCCTCTCGTTGTCCTTTTTGTCTGGCCTTCATTGTTCTTTCAGTCAGAGTCTCCTCAGATTGTGCTCATCTGTGCAGGAGCCTTTCCTCAAGGTGATATCATCCACAGCCATCTCTCCACTTCGGCCTCTGCCACGCTCCCCCTTCAAGATAACCTGGTGAACAGCAGGGAAATAAACATTGGTACATAAGTATAAAAGGGATCTTTAAAGCTTTTGCAGCAGCCATAATCCATTTCCTTTTAAGAGAAAAGAAAAATGTATATGTTAGCAATAAACTGATATGTGAAGAGTTTACCTGGCAGTTATTTTAAATTAAAACAGCTTACAGGAATTGGAATATGTTAAACTACTGAGTGGGTGGTGAAAAAGGAGAGGATGGAGGAGGTGTATGGCAGACCTTTTTGACATTTATTAGCTTGCCTTAATATGTAATTCAGATGTCTTAAATGCATTTTTTCCAAGTCAAAATGAGCATTTCAAATATCTAAAATAACATTCTCCCTATGTAAAATAAACATTTCAGATATCTGAAATTAAATCCTTACTAGTACAAATGACGTCATGTTTCCCATTCAGGTGTATTGGGTTTTTACTTCCAGATTTCTAAAATAAAATTCTTCCTATCTAAAATAAACATACTTCCTATCAAAAACTAAATGCTGACGAGGAGGACCTCTTATTTCAGATCTTCACAATAGTGTTACTACTAGTCACAATTATTCTTTCAGATATCAAAAATAATATGACATTAAAGATATCCAGAAATCCAATTCTTGACATAAAAAATATATTTCTGCAAGTAGAAATTTCAATACAGATATCAACAACTTGTTTTATTTATATGTTAATTAGAATTACAGTACAGATATCTCAGTTTTAATAATGCATGTCTATAATTTTATTTTAGATACTTGTACAAGAATAATGAGGCTCAGTTTAAACATAAAATAAGCAGGCTGACTAGTCACATTCCTATAATAGAGTGCACTAAAGAATTCTACCTAGTCACAATTACAATGTTCCTAGTTAGAATTGTATTTTAGATATCACTAATTACATTTCTACCGGTAGAGATTACATTTTAAGTACTCTAGAATCAAATTTGTACTATTAAGAACTACATTTCAGATATGTACAAATCTTTACTTTAAGTGGCAGATTGATTTGTATTTCATATTCAGATATCTTTAATAGTATTCCTTCTATCTAAAATTAAAATTTCAGATCTCTGAAATGTAATTCGTATTACTAGTACAAATGACACCACCTTTCCCCATTCGTGTGTATTGGGCCATGACTTTCAATATCCAAAATGACATTACTCCTATCTGAAATAAACATTCTGAATGACTAAAAATAAATTTCAGATCTAAGTTATACAATTGTTACTTTTCATAATTTTTATTTCAGATATCAAGAATGGAGAAAACATTGCAGACATCTAAAGTAAAATTTCTGGCATCCAAAATATATTTTTACTAGTATAAATATCTATACAGATATCTACAACTACATTTGTACTAGGAACAATTTAGTTGTGGATATCCATAATTGCCATTCTTCCTATCTAAATTCGAAATTAGTACTTTAACATAACTAATCATTGATGCAACGTATGAGTTGGACTATAGAAGCAAATCATTACCATATTTCAAATGAAAAAGCATTTTCAGAAATGCTTTTTCATTTTAAGACTGTAGCTGCATTGTTTGACTCATAAATTAAATTAGTCATCAATCAAATCTGTTTGCATTTTCATTTTCTTCTTTAACACATCTCATCCTTTTACTTAAATAAAATGAAAAAGAAAAAGACATTTGAGATTTATTTTTCAAAATGTACCCCAGCAAATACATACCCAAATTCAATTTAAAATGTCAAATTTGAAAATGAAAAAGCATTTCCAGTAATGCTTTTTTATTTTAAGAATGTGGCTGAATTATTTGACTCATAAATTAAATAAGTAATCAATCATCCTATTTGCATTTGCATTTTCTTCTTTAAGACTGCACATTTTATACCATAATCAAAGAGAAAACACAGCGGACATTGTTTTTTCGTTTTCGTGGTCTGCCTGCAAAGTACTGTCCGAAACGAAAAGAAGTCTGAGCAGCGGGCGCAGCAGACTGACATCAGCAGCCGCTCTTCCTCAGGTCCTTGCTGACCGGGCTACCCATCTTGTTCGGTAGGGGGCGCTGTGCACGTCTGCATTGCATTACACTATAAGCGTGCCGGTGGTAAACTGGCTGAATTGCTGGGTCTTTAGCATCACAGGTCATGGCACTCCCTCAAATTGTAAAAACACTTTTAGAATTAGCTGAGCAGGTAGAATCCAATCCAATATGGTAACAATTTGCTTTCATACATGTATTCGACATTGTTGAGCACTGCACCCAGGAGGTCATTATTCCCACTTGCTAACACTCTCTGAATATTTTTCCCTCTGGAGTAAAATGGAGGCAGACATTAACAGAACTTCTGCTTTTGACAGACTTTCTGGTGTTTCTCGTGCAAGACGCTCTCTGCTGCCACAAATCCCCTGGTTGAGGATGAGCTCATTTCATTTTCTTTCCATTCTGTCCAGAGTACCATCGACACAATTACTGCTTTCAAATCCAGAGAGGAAGCTAAACTCATAAAACCGAATGTCTTGAATTTAGGTTCGAAATTCTTGAACTATGTAAGATACACTATGTTTGCTCATTTTTTCTTCAGATTAAGAATGTTTATTTTAGATACTGTAGGAAGAATGTTATTTTAGATATCTGGAAGTAAATGCCCAAAACACAAGAATAGGAAACGTGACGTCTTTTGTACTAGTAGGAATTACATTTCAGATAACTTCAATGTTTATTTTAGATAGGAAGAATGCTATTTTAGATATCTGAGATGATCATTTTGACTAAGAAAAATTTTATTTGAGAGATCTGATAGATATATCTTTAGTCAAGCTAATAAATGTCAAAAGTGCCACTTTAAATTAGTAAAGATTTCAAGGTATCCAAAAATTTATTCCTACTAGTACAGCTATATTTTTGGCATCCTGAAATTAAATTTTTGGTAGCAAAAATGTAATTTAGGATATCTATATGTGCAGTTCTGACTAGGAATTAAGTAGGAATTAAGTTTTGACCAGGAAGAATCTTCTTTTAGAGATCGACAAATGGAACAATAGAGAGGACATCGTTTCTAATAAATGTCAAAACGGATTGCCATAGTAGTGTTTATATTATTCCCTAAAGGTTAAGCTTATGAACAGAGAGTAAGGATTTGTGAAAATAAAGAAGTGAAGAGAGCATCCTGCTCCTCACCCACTAAAACAATATAATCCCAAGAACCGGGGATAAAGAACAGTTCGTGCCATAGATTTAACATTGGAGAAAACACCCACATCATAAAAGCAAACACAGTTGTTATTTTTGAGCATAAAGTTTCTAGACTATGAAAAATTGTTGTTTTCTGTGTTTATTTTTTTTCTTTTAGGTTGTCTAAAAAAAATCAGCTGGACCATTTGGTTTAATAAATCAAAAATGTTTTCTTTAAATATTCCCGCTTTGTGCATGTTTATCTTTGTTTCCCAGCAGTATGATGCAGCGCCCTCCCCCACTTGGTGTACAAAAATAAATGTAGGCATCTAAACTTTTATAAGCCTTGAGTGCTTTCCCTGAAAAGCAAGACTGTCGATTCACCAAATAATTATAGAGGACGTGGTAGGCGAAGTCGGGGATGTCCGAACGATGGCAGTCTTGAATCTGCGTAAACAAGCTATCTGCGTAAACAACAGAACTTTTTGCTCACTGTTTAATCTCCCCATCTAAATGCTCAACATATGTAGACAATATTGGATCTGCAGATTCTAAACTCAATTTGTATTACATTGCTATAGTAAATATCACGCATTAATATTACGCCGCACACAGGTGGTTCTATGCTGTCCGTATGGTGGAGTAAACACACAGCGGTCACGTGACTGTATGTCCTCTATAGAAAAAAACAGGACTAAAATTGAAATTTGCCATTAGAACTAAGTTCTACCAATAATTATACTTACACTTTCCAGGCCTGTACCCCATAAAGTGATCTGAGTGTGCCTCCAGCCGTTGCCACCAGTTCGGCTCCATACTGCAGGACTGAACTGCTTTCCCTTTTTCACGAACACCTGAAGCATTCCCACATGGTGGCCTGCCAGCTTGTGGCGAAATGAAAGGCACAAGTTGCCGTCATTCCAAGGAGAGATGAGAGGCAGTACTAGCCGGGCCCCTCGTCCCGTCCTCTTGTTTCTTGTTTCTGGGATAGTAAGATACCGTCCACCTGTGCAAGCAAATGGATGATGTAAATAAATAAATAAAACAAAATAAAAAGCACAATGATAACCTTTTTTAGTCACAATGGAGATTGACTTTTCAAATTTGATAATGTTGCATTAAATTCCATGCAGTATAACAGTACAAAAAGTTTTGGGAGATCATAATCCCACAAAAGGAAGGAAAACAGCTAACTATAATCTTTTTAAAAATAAGCTTCCTGTATCATTATGTGGATTTAGCAATCCAATTTTTTCAGAGTGATAAAAGGAAAGTTTAATATGAGAATTAAAAGGCTTGTTTCAACTCAGGTGTCAGCAAATGTGCTGTATTGCTGTACCACCTTAGATATATATATATATATATATATATATATATATATATATATATATATATAT